ATCCACACTTAAAGAATCCATTTGCAAGCTTTCAGCGCGACTATTTTGGCAATTCAAACAGAAAGGGCCTCTTGACCTTTTTTAATGCCAACAGCACATGCAGACCACACACAGTATACACAGCCACTCCAAATTACTAATGGCGGTGAAATGCCACGCACCGCAAGTAGGTAATGAGGTAGGACCATAGCAGGGGAGGCTGCAAAATATCAACAGTGACTGACGATGGGATAAACTGGATTAGCTTTAATACTGCTGCAGCAGAGCACAGCGTTCAGACAACCTTCTGAGGATAAGCAAAGGTTATAAAAATGTGGAAATTCAGCTGCTTTGGGGAATATGAATTTGAGAGTCAGACAATCATAGGACAGCTGCAACTACAGTTTATATTATTATCTATAATGGATCTAAGCATCACTCTTATGATTTACCAAGTATTAGGGTTGAGCGATTGGACAAATATATTGGCTATTGGCAATTGGCCAAAAAACAAGTGAGAGAAAAAACAGCTGTAGATCTGGTGTATCATCTAACTGCAGTGAATTAAGGGTTTATTTCGACTAGTTTGATGACAGGGAATACACTTACAAGGTGATTTGCAGAGGCTCCAAACAAGACTCTAACTTCGGGGAAGATGAGGACACAGTAGGGAGGGACAGCCTGAGACAGGAGAGGGACAGCCTGGGACAGGACAGTGACACGCCAGGAGAAGAAAAGCATGAAGCGGGTAGAGGAGCGAGGGAGGTCAGGCATCAGAGAGGCAGCGGCAGCGTGTGGAACCAGAATATTTTCATATCTAACTCTGTTAGATGGTAAGACAGCAGAGTTGGTGATTGTTGCAACAGTGGAAAAAATAATAAAGTCAGTTTGGTGAGTTTTATTTTGTTTCTGTTAGGTTTTATTAATGTGTGTTCATTAAGATCGCGCTGAACCAGGTCTTAGTTCGCGATATAAGAGAAAACGAATTCAGAGAGGATTGCTGTTGTATTTTCGTTCGATGCAAGAAAAAATAGATTGTTTCCTTTTCTTCTTGACATTGTTACTTAAAAGGGTGTGTTAGAGCTTGTGCATGTAGCTCATCTCCCAGCTAAAATCTACATGGGGGCAGAGTAAATTAGGATGGCACAGTACACGACACACGGGCAAATATATCGAACAATCAATGATGGGGTGATGGTGGCAGTGAGTTTGATAAACTATCACCAACTCTCTTCCTCTATCAGTATCTGGATTAGCATGCAGCCTATTTTTAAAAGCCACATTAATTGACTTTATGTTTGGGAATAATGTACCCAAGAACTTGATATATGTATAGACGAAACAGCTCTGACAGTAGTTAAACGATGAATGGGTAAGCAAACAGTTGCCTATTTACTTCATCGCAATGACACAGAGTAACATTAGCATTTAAAACTCCCATTGCTTGGCTCTGATGTTGGTGCTCCACCAGACTCCAGCAGAAAAATAGCTTGGCTATTTAGGCTGCTAGATGTCCCACTTGACACCTGGGATTTCGGACAGCGGCACTATCCAGAAATGACGGAGGGAATTACCTGAACAGTGTTAGATAATTTTGGAAGCGGGAGGGCCACTGACCCACTTGACAGTATTTGGGTAGGGTGACTGGGTTGGGGGTTTGATGAATGTGCTGAGACGCTGAGCGTATTACGTTTCAATTGTTCTTTAACATTTAAAACAGTGACACAAAGATGTGCAAAAGCCGAATTAATATAATGGTCTTGAATACAAGAGGGCAAGTGTTATACACAAAGGCAATTTCAGAGGGAGGTTTTCACTAAAACGTTAAAAACTATTCCAATTTAAATGCTAGAAACCATTTTCATTAAAATTAAATGAAATTTATGATATTCATTCATGTTACAATATTTTTTTCTTACCATACAATAAACTAAGTGACAGACATTTGCCACAAGGCATAGAAACAGCAAATCAAAACACACTGCAGAAAACCATGGGTGCACACACGATGCAAAGGCGCACATAGCAAACACACACAGAAGCACAACTGGTACATAACACACACACAGAAACCAAAGGGAGACAACGGATTAGAGGCTAATGAGTTCTGAGTGGCTTGGTTGGGTCGACTTCATCTGTTTCCTATCAACTTGAATGGATCTGAGTGGCTCAGTGTCTAACACACACACACACAACAGTCATTTGACCAGGCCAGGTAAAAATTGCAGATGTAGAGGATTTTGTTACAGTAAGCAATTTAGCATCTGCCATTTGAGCTTCTCTATAAGGGATTAATCTCTCTCTCTCTTCTCTCTCTCTCTCTCTCTCTCTTCTCTCTCTCTCTCTCTCTCTCTCATTACTCTTCCTTTTTCTGTTTCCTGCCATCCTTTCTGGAACTACTTCTTTCTTCTCCCTTTTTCTTCTGTTTCATCTTCCTCTTTCCCCCTCGCCTCCTTTTCTCTATTGTATTTTCTTTCCCTCTACGCCTTTTCAATCCTTTTCTCTCTTTTTGCCCTTCTCCCTCTCCCTGCGCTCATTCACAGTATTTCTCTGTCATCCGTGTGATTCCATTCATGCTGTTCAGTGCCAGTGTCGCTTTAGCGATATCACTGCCCGACAGCATGCTGGAAATTCCTGCTGTAGTGTTTGATATCATGGTCGCACACACACACACAGAAATACACACATTCACGCATGCTGTTGTAATGTGTGTTTGGTATAATGAGTAAGGATTAAATGATGTGAGACAGACGTAGATACAAAGAGAAATATTAATTAAAAGGTGGTTGTTTAGTTTCTCCTGACTGGAAACAAGCAAAATCTTTTTTGTTTGTTTCACGTATTTGAAAAGACAAGCGTCCAAGCTGCTTAATTTTTGGCATCAAAGAGAGAAAGATGGCAAGCATGGCCAAAAACATAGAGAGTGTGTTAAGAAAATGGAAGAAAATGGATAAAAGAAGAGACAAATCTGAGAGTGGAAGAAAGTGATGACGTTGAAGTAAAAGCCTTTTTTTTCATGCATGGGTCAATTTTGAGGTTTTTGTTCATTTTGCTTCCATGCCTAAAATACACATTGATGTGTTTATTTTACTAAAAAGTTAAGATTAGATAATGCCTAATTAATTAATAATTCATGTGAGTAATCCACTGGGGAAGTTTCATGGTGATTACACATTTTGCATTATTCGCCTTTAGTGTCCCCCCAAATGTTCTTTAATGGAATACTGCACCATAAAATATGTGTTTTGAGTATCAAACCCTCACAACAGTCACACTAAAAAGTGTGCAGTTTGTACACCACAGACGCCACAGAGTGTATCTATAGGCAGCTTCTCCATCAGCCTCTTGTAGGTCTAATAACTGTCATGGAGGTGCAGTCTCCAGCAGCAATGCAGCAGCCAAGGCCAACTAACAATTTACTGACTAACAGTCCTGTGAAGAGGAAATTAGTATGTTGCCACAGAGGGACTGTGATATTCCCATGACCATAATTTAAGTCTTGTCATCCTTGAACTGCTGATTTAAAAAAAAAGGAATGAAAGATAGTGAAAGAGGAGGTTAAAGGAGAAGACTGAAGAAAGAAGGAGAAAAGCTAAGATGATTAAGACAAAGAGTGAGAGATGATGGCACAGGGAGGCTGTGGGAGACGAGAGAGGGATTGAGAGAAAGCGAGAGAAGAGAAAGAGACGAAGAGAAAGTGAGAGATTTTTGAAAATGTTCTAGTGCTTAATTATTGAAGGTTAGCATATTTTTGCAAATGCACTGGCAGCAAATACCCTCTTGTCTTGCCAAAAAAGCTCCTCTTTTGTTGCCCCTGTTTGCTGATTGCTTGGTTTTTAGTGATGTAGGTATTAAAATCTCTAATATTGTTCACTTACTGCAATTTTGTAAGAAAAATGTCAAAAGGAAATCAATAAAACAACAGAGAATTAAAGGGAATGGGCAACCCAGAGGTGAACAAAAATGTCTTTTTGAAAGGGGCTTCATTCATAAATGTATTTTACTCCTACTACATACCTTTTCTTTTATGTCTAACTTTTTTAATTCAATAACTTTTATACCAACTTTTTCTACACCAAGTGTGAACCTCCCTTGACGTCCTCTATTGGTTTGTGAAGTACAAGTTCGACATTAAGGCCATTGCTGAAGCGCCCTGGTAGCTCACATAATAGAGCTGGCGTCCTACGTACCGAGGCTTGAGTCCTTGCTGCGGCGGCCTAGTTTCGACTCGGACCTGTGGGTCATTGCTGCGTGTCATCCTCTCTCTCTCCATCATTTTCCTGTCACTCTTCAGCTGTCATTATTGATTAAAAATGTTGTTTTTTGGAGCCAGCAGCGATGTCGTACTGTGAGTCGAGCTGTGCTCACTGACTGTGCTTGGTTTGACTTTTTTTGGCAGGAAACAATGGCAGCTCGCCCATTCACACACATTATTGTGTTACACTGTTATATGCAGTACACTAAAATATGTTTCTGAAAAAAAAAAATGAAAGAGAAACAGGCAACACAGCAACAGCATTTTGATTCATATTCGATCAGCACTGCCTAGTTTGACAGTTTGATCTGAGTTTGGTGCGTTGAGCTGAACGAACTCACTGAAAATGACCTGTCAATCACAAGGTAGCCACGCCCTAAAGCATATCCTGCTTTATGGTCTGTTTTACTCTAAATGGGACCATCACTTACTAAATGAACATCATGTTGTATGGAAGAAGACTGTAACTAGAGACTAAGCCCATAAACTTGTTAGGAAACTGTTTACTGAAAAAAAAAATGAAAAAAAGTGAAGGTTTTGTGAAAAGTGAAAAGTTTTGGAGCTGAATACAAGCACAGATATTTTTGCTACTAAAGGAGGTGCCCCCTGCTGGCCATTTGAAATAATTCAGGTTTAAATAATTTACGTGTTGGCCTCACTTCTAACTATTTACTGTCAGTGGTCTACATATAGCTATTATCTTTTGTCACCCCCTTGGTGTATGGATGAGTTGATCGCTTATCTCATTTCTATGATTTGTCTGTAGGTACTACGCTATCTGCTGCCAGCCTCTGGTCTACCGGAACAAAATGACCCCCATGCGCGTGGCTCTGATGATCGGCGGCTGCTGGGTTATTCCCACCTTCATCTCTTTCCTGCCCATCATGCAGGGGTGGAACAGCATTGGCATCAACCACCTGGTGAGCCCTGTAGTGTGTGTGATTTTGTTTGTGTGTATACACCAGGGGAAATTCACTGAGGACCCTGCGCTATGAAAATATATCTAGTGGATATACAAGTTTATGATGGTAATGCACTGCTTTTAAGTGAAAATGTGGTTGCTTTGTAGGGTAGAGAAAAAATAGCCCAAAAATGAGAGAAATTGTAACATACATAAACAATGCATCTATTTTAAAAGTGTCCACATGTGCTAAGAAACAAATTGTAGTCCTTGGGACTCCTGTTTACAAGAAGGAGGAAATGCTTCATGTGTCGCTATGGAAACAACATAAACATGTCAGACACAGAAGGATGAGGCCACTGACACCCCAGACATGGAGTCAAGCTGTTCCTTTATTTCAGTCAGTATGTAAAGTATTTAGGGGTTGAGTAAGTATTATAAGTGTCTTGTTTGTGCAGTGGGGTTTGTTTAAATGATGTAAACTAGAATACAGAAGGAGAGATGAGGCGGAATAATCTGGTGTTGAAACTCAGACATCACAGAGACAGTGTAAATGGAATCAATTTGAAGGTATTAGAACAGATGTTCCTTCAACCTGGGGTCAGGATAAATGTTTCACTCAAGGTCCTCTGCTTAGTAGTTCAGCCACATCTCATGGGCTTCCTTAGTGGATACAGAGAAATTTCATTTTTTTCCAGACTTTTTCTCGAAATTAAGCTTTCATCTCAGTCCTTCAAATGAAAGTAGGAAAAATCAATCTTTAGTTAAAGTTCATAGTAAAAGCCTTAAAGTGGTAAGACATACTGATTTGTTTCAAGGGGTCACAAGCCATAAAAGTTAGGAACGACTGAATTATGGTATAGACACATTAGATAAGTTGATGGCAAGTCAAAGGATCATGTTCATTTTCTATGGAGTGCAGGAGACACACGTGTGATGCAGAGCACATAAGCTGCAACCTTGACTTCCAGCCCAACACAGCAGGCTCACAAAACTCGGATGAAACTGTCAAACTAGGCAATGCTGATCAAAAATGTGTCAATATTCTGTTATTGCATTGCCTATTTTTCACCTCAAATGTTTCTTAGATACGTATTTTAGTGTTCTGTTTATCTGCAATATGTGTACATTTCTGGGCTGGCTGCATGTTGAAAGCAGCAGATCCAAAACCAAGCACCACCCAACTAGCAGTTTGTTCAGAGCATTCAGTAGTCCGCATCCATGCTGCCTGATGATGCATCCTTGCTGGATTCTGTGTGCCTGAACCATTAGAAATCTCCTCCCCAAGATCATGTTGAGTACATAAAGCTTATATTAGATCATACAGAATAACAGGTAGAATGACCTGCAAAAGGTCCAAAGGTCCTTATCATTGGACCTAAGGGGGCTCTAGAGACCTTGCATTAGTCAACCTTTAAAATCTAATATCAAGCTATACACTCTGTTTTTTTTCTCGGGTTTTCTATTCCTATTCCTATTTTTTTCGTTAGGAAATATTGCTAAAGTCAAACATATTTTAATCTTTTGAAAGTGCTGAGGAATCCAAGACTAGATAAATATAATTCATTATCTTGGCTGAGACAAGAGCTGTTGCAGATGGTTCAAACATGCTGCAGCCCGTCCAATAACAAAGACAAAGCACGGGGAACAAATTACACCAGTGTTGGCCTCTCTCCATCGACAGACAGTAGACTGTAGAGCTCTGAGTACGTTTCTGAACCATTTTGTCCATTTAATAACTTTAATTCTCTTTAAATGAAGGGAGTCATATTTGCCTCTAAACGTTCCTGTTAATTTCAGCCAATTCAATTAACTCTATTTTTAAACTTTACTTTTACGTTATTTCTGTTAATTCCATTTTGTTTGCTCTTTCAGTTGCTCACTGTTACAACAGTGTTTCTGGTTTTGTTTATATAGTTTGTAACTTTTATTTAGAAAAGTGCAATAGAAATAAATCTTTACTTACTTTCTTACAAGAAAAATATGGAATAAATACTCAAAAAATATAAACATATTAAAGGTCCAGTGTGTAACATTTAGGAAGATCAATTGGCAGAAATGGAATATAATACTCATAAATATGTTTTCATTAGTGTATAATCACCTAAATATAGGAATCTTTGTGTTTTTGTTACCTTAGAATGAGCCGTTTTTATCTACAGACACCATGGGTTGCCTTCCATGGAGTCTGCCATGTTTCTACAGTAGCCCTGAATGGACAAACCAAACAATGGCTCCAGATAGGGGCACATTTTCTTCATGTCTTGCATATTTCTCCTACGTACTTGGAAGGGAAGGATAAAGTGAAGGAGTTGCAACTACACTGCTAGATGGCACTAAATCCGACACACTGGTCCTTTAAATTCCCAAAACCCATTAATATATACAGTATGTGATAAGTGGGAACAAATGTGACATAACTGACCATTTCAAAGTCTGAATGTACATTTTGGTACAAATTTATGAATGAAAAGTTACTAAAGTCTGCGTGAAAACAACAAAGCAATGTATATCAGCAAGAGGAGGAGAGAGACAGGAAGACAGGTGTGCAGACAAAGACAGAGGAGAGAGAGAGAGACTCCCCAGCCATTATTAACCTCGCTCTCCCCTGTTCGCCTTTATCTGAGCGCCAGTGAAAGTTACTTCCGAGCTGGAGAATTGGCTGCCTCATTTTTGGCAGCGTTGGCAGTGACACACTAATCACACACACACACACACCCACACGCACACAGCAGTCTAAAGTTAGCGCCATGCAGCAGCGTCTCTCTTTGGGTCTAATTAGAGCTGTTGAATATTCTGAGTAGCCAGTCAGTTCTGGCACAAAGCACAGCTCCAAAACTCAACAAAACAACCAGAATACAGGAGTCAGCAGAGACGCACACATCACTGTCTATATTCATTGCCTTGTGGAATACACAGCTCTGATTGGTCAGTGGTTTCACACCGAATCATTCAAGTCAAGCAGTCTGTTGGTGTTTACATTTTGTATTTAGAAATGGGCACTGTGATGATTTGTACCAGATTTTGTAACTAAGTAATCAACTACTGTACTTAAGTACCATTTTGAGGTACTTACTTTAGTATTTCCATTTTCTTTCTACTCCTCCATAAGTACAGCGTTTACAGAAATGTAAACACTGTACTTTTTACTCCACTACAATTACCTGATAACTTTATTCACTACTTTGCAGTTTCAGATTAATGATATGAAATATAAACAACAAATAAATTAGGATCTGTTATTATCAGTTAAGAGACTTTGAGGGGGACATTCAGTTTTAAATAATCTTAAAATTAGCACCTGCTAGACAAAAGCTGCAACATTAAAGTGATGAACACATTAATGCATCAATACTTATAATCCAATAATATGATAACCATTATTCTGAAATGGCCCATTCTGCATGAGTTCATTCAGTATATACTTTTGTATTTTAGAAGTAATACATCTGCATACTTCTTCCACCACTAGAGATTTTGCCAAACTGCATATAAAGTGGTGTCTCTCCCTCTAATATCTCTTGTTGTGTTAGATCTGCAATTTGGATATTGTACTTGGCCATATTGATTTCGATAATATTCCAATGAATTGTGCAGCCCTAGTCTTAATTGAATTTAGAAACCACAATATAAAATGTGATATCTGTTAAAAGATCAAATGCGTTAACTGAATGTTTTTTATACTGTAGCCATGGTTACAGTTCTGATATTATCCAGCCACGGTGTTTGCAAAGCTGCCAATATGACAGCCCATTTCTCATTTTAGCAGAAGCATATTTTTAAGCTTGTCGTAAGATTTAATATTTTGATATGCTACTTCAGTATTTTAAGATTAACCCCAATAGTGAGTTTATTTGTATTCAGCAGATGAACACACAGAGAATGGTTTGACCTGGGCCTTCTTTTGCAAAATGATCACGTCATGCTGGCAGGCTCATAATTAGCAATCAGTTGACTTTAATAAGCTGTAACGATGTTAGAATTTACCACGTGTAGCATGTACTGACTGTGGAGCTTCAAAGAGGTTTGGAACGACATTCATACAATGTTCCAGAGATGATTTGCAAAAACTGTTCAGTGAAGGCAATATTTCCCACAGCTCCAAAGAATAAGGGAGAATCAGTGACAAGAACAGCCCCCAGGGTGCCCTTTGGCAAAACTTATTTGGTATAAATCCATATCTCACAGTAAAGACCTGTAATCACTCTGAGCTCTGTAAGTACACATGAAGCACTGATAAAAAAAAGTATGTATCTATTTTGTCCTAGTTTTACATGTTATCACATTACTCTCATCATTCTGTGCATTCATGCAGCAGGGCAGGTAACCTCAAAGTCAACACTTAAACATGTCAGCCCATTCATAAAAACATCTTTAGTTTTACACACGAGGGAGCCTGGCCTTGCAGCAATATGGATTGATCTCTGTATTATTCAACTCGTCGCCCTGAGCCGTGGTTTCCCACAGAGATGACATGATAGCAGAGGGAAAAAAATAGGATAGGACTTGATTAATGGTGCAGAGCCTGCCTCTCCCTCAGGAGCCGTGTTCCCCTTTTACTACGGAGTCTGAGATGAGGAGAGTATGGGATTTTAAGTGAGTTGTTATGAAGTCTGGAGGCGTTTCATGGCTTCTTAGGGCAGAGCTGTCCAGCATCGCAACGCATGTGCTTACTTGGGGATTTTTTTCTTCAAATTGCGTATTCTTAAAAAACTTTTTACTTAAATTGATATGTGTGCCAGTGTGTGTGTGTATGTGAATGTGATTAAAGAGTCATTTGTGCATCACTGTATTACTAATCTGTTTCAGGGCAGTTGGATTTTAATTCTAATTTTATCAAAGCGTGAAATAACACATTTTATTCATCCACTTCTGTCAGCCAAGAACAGGATAATCATGCTACAGGAGGCAGAATACATTATTTTAGTACTCAGATTACTTTTGGTGGCTGTTGGTTTTCACTCTTTAGAATAAGTTCAAATTACATTTCAGACGCCTTCTGGATGGCACCAGGAAAAAAAAAAATCTGACGGAATTGCAGGATGGCCAAATGAAACATGCATGATGATATATATTGCTACACTGATGTTCTGTAGTAAAAATGTAATAAATAAATGAAATTGTTTTAAAAACGTATGTAATTCTTATTGGATGTAGCTAGAATGAATGCAGCTTTTTCTTTTTTTACTGCAAACTTAAAATTTCTGTTAATTTTTCTACCTGATATTCCACCCAGCTCTGTGCTAATTGCCTGCCATATGCCGTGCAATACACATCACAATATTAAAGTAACGTAACTTGATTACTTTCTGTTACTATTGGATTACCTCAACACCATTTAAACAAGAGAAGAGAAATGTCTCTGAGAAATTGAAAGATTTTTTAAGCACAAAAATGTGTCTTCTGCTCAGTATATTTTTTAAAAATAATAATAAATTAATTGTAATCTTGCTAAATTATCCCCATTTTTACTAAATGTAACTGTAATCTGATTACGTATTTTGACTTAGTTAATGTTAGCATGTTAGAATGTTAAAAGCATTCAGCTTTTAACATACCAACAACTCAGGCCGATGAAGTTAGCCCCAACTGACTGACTCACTAAGTCGGATAAAGCTGAGCTGACCAAGTATGAGATGTCCTAAAATGGCCACCATACAGAGGATAAATCCTTTTGGTAACAACAAGGCCTTTCCTCCAGCACTGCCTTAAGACCAACCTTTACTGTAGCGTTGATTCGTAAGGATATGAGAACAGCAAAGTCCTTTTCACATCCATTCAATAGCTTTGTTTTCCGGCCTCACAGGGCCAATATGTGGTTGTAGACTTATAGTCATACTTTTTTCTGATAAATTTGTGTTTTATTATGGTTGGGTTAAACACACCTCAAAAACCTACAACAGACTACTAACATAAAGCTTCATTGCTGCTGTTTTTACCTATGATCCTGCACTTGAGGAACTTGAAGTCTAACTGTCTCTGATTTGACTTCTTTTGCCAGATTGAGGAGAGGCGCCACAGCGAGGGCAGCAATTCCACATCCTGTGTCTTCATGGTCAACAAGCCATACGCCCTCACCTGCTCAGTGGTGGCCTTCTACATCCCTCTAATCCTCATGGTGCTGGCCTACCAGAGGATCTACATCACAGCCCGTGCACACGCCCTGCAGATCAGCATGCTGCAGCGGGCAGGGGGAGCCGGTGCATCGGACTCTGCTGACCATCAACGCAACCATCGTATGCGAACAGAAACTAAGGCAGCAAAGACTCTGTGCATCATTATGGGGTGTTTCTGCCTCTGCTGGGCGCCGTTCTTCGTTACCAATGTGGTGGACCCCTTTATAGACTACACAGTGCCGGACAAGCTGTGGGTGGCCTGCCTGTGGCTGGGCTACATCAACTCCATGCTGAACCCCATCCTCTACGCTTTCCTCAACAAGTCCTTCCGCCGTGCCTTCCTCATCATCCTGTGCTGTGGGAGGAAGAGGTACCGCAGGCCGTCCATCCTGGGGTCCGGAGCTCCCTGCACAGCCACGCAGATCAACGGCTCCACACATGTACTCAAGTAAGTTCTACAAGTTATTTTAGTGCGGGTCTCATTGCACGTTATCAGTCGTGAATCTGTACTCCTTAAAAAGCATCCATATACCTTAGATGGTGTTGTGTGACAGTCGACAGCACTTCCTGTTTAAGACTCTAGATACACCAGATACAGATTCCACAGAATTTAAGTAGTAAAATGATGTGTTATTTTTAGTCTTTAGTTTTGCTGGCAAAAACATGTCACACTATAGGGTTTAAAAAAGGTACAGTGTTATAGTATGGAAATTCTTTTCATTCTGAAAATATTTGGGGAAGACAGTCATAATGGATATGAATATGAGAATGAAGTGGTTATTTTAGGAAAAATATTTTGAGAAAAAAGTATAAATACATTTTATTATAATAAAAAAACACCCCAGCCGATATATCATTTTGTGACTTTTGCTTTTAAAAATATACCTTTTTTCTCCAAATATCACCCCTTTATTGTTCTGATCTGAAAATCAGAACTTTTTAATCTCAAACCATGACTTCCTCTTCAGGTTTTCATAATTCCTGCATATGGATGTTGCAGTAGTGAATGAAAACAGGCTTTGAACTGTGTAGGAGAAACTACAGTGGTCCTCAAACCATGACTTCCTCTTCAGGTTTTCATAATTCCTGCATATGGATGTTGCAGTAGTGAAGGAGATTTTTATCCTTCATGAGTGCTGCATGCAGTAATTGGTGCAGATTTTGTGATTAATGTTCAGTAGGGTCAAATGGCAAGTAGCAGCAGCTCCTTGTAATAAAAAAAGATTTTTTTCAGGTTTGTTAGAGATGACTTTATCTCTGTGAATACCCTTTTCAGTCCTTATACTTTAGAATGCACGGCCTTGACCGATTACTCTACTGACCTATTACTGTTTCTAAACATAGAACACATGTTTCACAGTGATAAGAGTATGAGGTTAACATGTACATTGTAGTGGCCTATTGCAAATGTAATCTTCATATTCTCCATCCTCTGTGTCTACATCTGGATAGAAGCATCTTATCTGTTTTCAATAATCATGAATGTACGGCAGTTTATTCTTCATAGATTCCTTAAATAATCATGCATGTGTCTAACCACATATGCACGTGACATGTATGAATAATGTATGAAAAATTCAACAGCAGAGCTCTCTCTCTGTCCTCTCTTCCTCATGCCCCCATCTCTTTGCACTACAGTGGCCAGTAAATGACACAAAATATATAGTTACATTTACAAATTAGAGACAAATAAGCCAGTTCATCAGAGTAGAAATTTAACAGACATGCAAGGTGAAAAGGTTATATACTTATAGTGGGGTAATAAATTTGCTTTAGCATTTGCCTTTTGTGCAAGAGGAAAGTGGTTTGTAATGCCAGTCAGTGTCCCTTATTTCTGAGTTCTGTGGTCAGAAAGGTGAGTTGCTGTTTCAAAACAGAGTATCAACCATTTTTGTAAGTGGCTAAAACAAATAATCATGAATCAGAATCAGGTTTATTAAGTGTTTCCACATACAAGGAATTTGCCTTGGTGCACAGCAATAAACAGTTTGATACAATAAAAAGACAAAAGTCCTAAAAGTTAAGAATCATAAATATATAAAACAGAAAAATATATAATAAAAAAATGTATTATTATAATTATATAATATAGTTTTAATATATCTATTTTTGAAAAAAGAATGTGGTATGGTTGACATACATGCATTTCTTTTTTCATATAGCATGTTTTACAGGATTTGTTATCTATTTTTCTACCAGAGACCACTTTAGGTCCCATTCCCCCTTTTGTTTCCTTTATTCTAAGGAATACTTCCACAGTTTTTACAGAAAAGCAATCAGTAACTTCAGTTTTGTTGTTGAAACAATCAGAAACACTTGTACAATCAGCAGAGATCAATTCTGTTCAAACACTGTCTTTTGCAACTGGCTGCTGTGTGGCTTCCCTTGAGCAATTTTATAAATATATAGACTTGGACTTGTTTTATGCAGCACCTTCCCCTGTTGTGTTGAATTTGTATCTTTGATATCACCCTAGTATTTCCCTATCCGGCAGTTAAGCTCTAAGTGAGCTCTTCTGACTGTGAGAAAAAGAAAATCATCTACAACAATTATGTCGTTTATGTAAATACAGACCGGAGGCAGCCTGCCGTAGCTGGAGACAGCTGAAATGTTTAAACATTCATCTTAATCTTAAGAAAGATATTTGCGTCATTGTTCAGGAATTTAACATGGTCTAAACCTCTGAGTGTGGAACCAACACAGGCTTTTATGAAGAGGAATATCATCGTATGATAGGTCTAACTGTCAAGGTGTCCTACTTCTGCTTTGTCTGACTCTAAGACTTATATTTGTGACATTACAAGTAGACTTAACATAACTACAATAGGTAACTAGGTTTCAATTTAACTTGTGTTTATATTTACATTAAAACCTCCCCTTAAGACTGCAATTTCACTGCACTACAATTTCTGACAAAGTTCTAAGCCTTTCAAAGTCACAGTTTCAGTGTGAATCAGTCATTTTTAGTAACCTTATCTCGCTGCAGTAGCACTTTTTTGCAAAGGTTCTTCTTACTTTTTCATCCAGTGCACCTGATGAAGGTCAGATATACTTAATGTCCCATTCAGTTTGCAATGAGTTCTTGAACAATGACTTTGAGACTTAGGACAAAGACACTTTATCTTTCTCCACATAATCTCCAGGGCAGGATGTTACCAGTTAAGATATTAATGATTTTAATTATCTTTCTTTATTTATAATGGCTAGTAAAGGCCAGAATTTGCAGATATAGCTATTGTAAGTTACACTACCACATTATCGATTATTTGTCCCCAATAGTAACTGGACATATATCAATATTTCTGTCTCTGATGAGTGGACAAAATGATCCGGCATAAATGTTTTTTAAATAGAAATACGTATTTTGAATAAAAAAAATAAAAATATAAAAGACTTTATCCATGGCTTCATTTAAAGGACGAGCGTGTAGGATTAAGTGGCATCTAGCGGTGAATTATTTAGATTGCAGCTAACTGAACACTGCTTGTGTATTTGACAACCTGTGAATGAAAACAGGCTTTGAACTGTGTAGGAGAAACTACAGTGGCCACAAAACTCTGAAAAAACATGAAAAGTCCTATGTAGAGTCAGTGTTTGGTTTGACCGTTCTGGGCTACTGTAGAAACATAACAATTTCTATTTAGGTGATACACTAATAAAAACATACCTATGAATATGTTTGTCCATTTCTGCCAATAGATCCTCCTAAATGTTACACACTGGATCTTTAATGAAACATGCAATACATGAGACATCTTCCTCTTGAACACAGATGTTGGAGATCCTCTGAGACTTATATCTGAGCTCCAGAAACAATCTGTATGAGTGATTTGACTCTGTGTGGAAAACCATATGGGGTGATGTCGGCTAGCTGTTGTAAAATCGAAGCCGCAAATGTACATGGTGTTGACATCCTGAGACATTAAGGAGCTGGAGTTTATTGTAAGCAATCAATGAGTGTGTTTATACTGACACAGAAGCCCTGATCAATTAATGTTCACTCTGCCGCACGACATTCTCTTTCCCTCTCTGACATTTCTGGACCCCCTCCAGAGAGTTGTTACTGAGGATTGAAGCAAGCTATTAGTGTGAGCTTGTCCATATGGAAGTCATCCATACACTCATTATTTTACTTAGAAATGAGTACTACTGAAATAAAACTACCATTATTCACGCAGGAATAGTAATACCAGGGGACCACCAGTGATTTGTAATATTGTCAGAGGCTGTCTGTGTTCTCATCCTTAATTCCACAGCAAAGTAGCGTGCAAAAACAGATGTGATCTAACGTTAGTCTGTCAACAATTCGGTTGCTTTTTTTTCTTTCTTGCAAGGATTCCCTATTTTTTCATGCTTTGACATTGTTGATAATGAAAATACTTATGTGACTGTGCAAAAAGTAGCAATGTTGGTATTTTGGATGCAAATATAGGAGGTTTATTTAAGTGTTAAGTGCAGCAAGAAAATGTACTTTAGGGCAATAACAAGTCTAGTAAAAGAGGAAAATCTCAGTGATGAAATAAACAATATGAAGGCAGTGTTTGTTGAGGAACCTTTTATGTTTCAGCAGGCTAAAAATATTGGGTGAGGCCAATATTGGGTCATGTGGTAACATTCACAGTTACTTGGGAATGTTATACACATGTTTTGAATCAGATAAGATTTCCAGACAGTACTACTCCTGTGTGGAAATGTTGATACCTCTAACAAAGTAAACAATATACAATATAACTGATGGCAAAATGCTATATTAACAGCAAACATCAAAACTGGAAGAGTAAATGAACATAGGCACAGATGTGGCATGTTTTATCATTTTATCATTCTTAATATTCTAACTGCTGTGTTTATCAATTTATGAGCTTTTATTGGTATCATAAATCCTGGTGTACACATTGTTCAGATTTGGAATAGTTTGGATTAAAATTAAAATAAAAATGTGCAGTGAGAATATAGCCTGCAGGACTGCAATCTCAATGAATCACTCTGTTGGAAAATATGCTAGACACTACTGGTGTTCAATATCCCCCATTTTACCATCATTAACTACAGTGCATGTTCTGAGTTTTCAACAAATGCAATACCATGCTATACATAGTCATTAGAAGTTGGATTTCCTACATTGTGACATTTCTGAATGTTATTACCGCTGCAAGATATCTACTAGCAATATACTATACTGTAATTGAGAGTTATACACAAGATACCTCCTAGTGTGTTATTGATAGGAGCTCACACTGTGCTGAGGCACATCCGGGCTTCAGGGGTTTGTGGCTGTATAGTGGAGGACATCCATTAGTCTGCTTTGGTCTCCCAGGAGAGCTGGAAACTGGACATGGACTGGTCACATTATCACATTACACTTATACATACCTGGTAGACTGGTACACCACCTGGGTTGAAGGTCCACAGTTCATTCGCTTTCTTTAAGGCTTTTGACAAATGAAG